TTGAAAGAATATTTTCGATTTTTAAAATTGTTGAATTAAAAATTTTTTTTTTTTTAAAAAATTAAAAAAGTATGTTTTAGTTTTTTTTTTATATTCCATTCCTATTGCAATCAAATTAATATTTACAACTTGTTGTATTTGTATTTTTGTCGATTTATATTTTTTTAATTGTTTTCAAATACCCAGTCCCCAATTGACTTCCATTATTATTGGTATCGTTTTAACAATCAAAAATAATTTAATAATTCACTTTCATATGGACTTGAAATAAAAAAATTCTCACAAAACCTGATTTTTGTATCCGAGGAATATTTATTTTGTTCATGTTTTTTTTCTTTTTTTGAAATCCCAAGTTTCGATTACTTTCATGACGTGCAGAACACACCTGGACAATAAATAAATGTCATTTTGAAATTAATTTTGGTGTTATAAAATAACTGTTCATATAACGTGCATTTAGATAAGGAATACAATACAAAAAGTGATTTGGATTTAAGAATAAAAAAATAAATAAATAAAAATAAAAATAATAATTGTAATTATTTTTTTATAAGAAATTAATAATTTATACAAAAATTGTATCACCATAAATATTTTATATAAATTACATTGTTATAAAAATATTTTTTTAATGTCTATATAATTATTTTTACATATATTTATAAAAGATTTTATTTTATTATATTATTTATTTATAATATTTTTTTATATTTATTTATATTATTTTTTTATATTTATTTATACTATTTATATTATTTATTATAAAATATATACTCTTATAAAATAAATATTTTTATTTTTATATTTTTTGTTATATTTTTATATTATTTATATTTATATATTTTTTATATTTATATATTTTTTAAAAAATAAAAAGTTAATATTGGCGAAAAACAAAAATAAAAATAATTGTAATTATTTTTTTATAAGAAATTATAATTTATATTTTTTTTTTATATTATTTATTATATTTATATATTCTTATAAAATAAATGTTTTTATATTTATATTTTTTTTATATTTTTATATTTATATTTATATATTATTTATATTTATATATATTTTTTATATTTATATATTTTTTAATATTTATATATTTTTTTCAAAAATAAAAAATTAATATTGGCGACTTGATTTTATATTTTTTTTAATTTTTTCTGTTCGCACTTTCGCCCACAATATTGAAATAATTAATATTTGTTATTGTGTCCGATATTTTCCGATGATATATTGTATATACCTATTCCTGTTGTTCGGTGACCAAATTAAAATTTGATAAAGAACATTTTTTCCATTGAAAGACTGCCTCTAAAATCAAGTATTGTAAGATATTTCGGCTCATTTCCAAAAGCTTTCCAAAAAATAACACTAAAGGCATGCAACTAATTTTTTTTTATATAAAAATTTTTGTTGTAATTTTTATTATAAATATTATATTTACGAATATAGTTTATACTGAGAAAATTTAGGAAATTTTGTTCAGAATATTTCTTACCCTGACACCTTACATTCACGATGAAAATTCATGTCATTTTCATGTCTCAACATGAAAGAAGTTTGTATTAAAATTATGAATTATTGAACTAATTAATATTTTCAATTGAGTCCGATATTATCCGGTGATATATTAAATATATCGATTCCTGTTGTGTGGTGACCTATACGGAAATTTGGTGAGGAATATTTTTACCTTTGAAATCAAGCCTTTAAAATGTGGTTTTGTTATATTGCCATTTACGACTTAATTTTATTATTTTTTTAATTTTTTCTGTTCGCAATTTTTCCCCACAATACCTCTTGACATTTATTGACCATTCTACACCGCATAGATTCTCTCCACCCCTGTTGCTGCATTTACATTAATAGCCATCTCAACTGCCCATAACTGTAATTTAAAGCGCATGCGTGCAACTGCATATGATTTTGTAGTTAGCTATTTTTTTAGCCTAACAGCGTACGATGATCATATGTCAGAGAAGACAACGACGACGATATCGTTAATGTCGTTCCAATTGCTGATGTGCCTGGTTTGTTGGCTACATCACCACCTGATTGTGGGGCTTTTTTCCAACAACAACAATAACAACTAACCAACAAATAAATACTACCAACATTTAAAAGAACCATTGAAGCATCAAAGCTAATCATTAAAACGATACGTTTAGTAGATGTGGTGGACAACATAAAATGTGTGTGTTTGAAAAAATTTTAAAAAAATCAGAAAAAAACATTTTTAAATATATTTATACAGAGAGTAGTCAGTGTATTGAGAATGAAGAGAAAATAAAAAATAATTTATGCACCAGTTTAAAAAAGGATTTAGATTAAATTCCTAAAAATTCATTGTTCTAATTGCAAGCTATATTTTTCGTTTAAATATTAAAAATATCGCTTTCTTATGTTCGGAGATATATAGTGAAATTTTATGGAGAATATTTTTTTTTCTTTGAAACCTTGGTCCTACAATGAAGTTTTGTTAGAAATTTTGGCTCATTTTCAAAACCTTCCTAAAATAAACATAACAACAAAATTCAAATAGTTTTTTTTTTTATTTTTAAATAGTTTTTCATACATATACATTATATTAAATTTTCAAATATAGTTTATTCTGAGATATATAGTGAAATTTTGTGTAGAATATTTCTTCCATTAACACCTAACTTCTTTGATGAAAATCCATGCCACTTTTATGCCTCAACTTAAGTGAAGCTTGGGTAGAAAATTAAACATAAGAAATAATTGAAAATTTCAATTATAATCGATATTTTTCGGTTATATATTACATATATCAATTTCTTATGTTCAGTAACCTATAGTAAAATTTTATGAGGAATATTTTTTTCTTTGAAACCATTTTCCAAAAAGAAAATTTTGTGAGAGATGTTGGCCCATTTCCAAAATGCTTCCAAAAGTAACATCAAATGCAGACACCTAAAAATTATTTTTTTTTTATAAAATTTGTTGTTGAAATTTTTATTATAAGTGTTGTATTTATAAACATAGTTTATTCTCAAATATATAGTGAAATTTTGTGCAGAATATTTTTTCCACTGACACCATACTCCTACGATGAGAATTCATTGCACTTGCATGCTTTATCTTGAAAGAAGCTTGGGTTACTACTTTTAAATATGAAATGATGAAAATTTTTTTATTGTTTCGAATATTTTCCGGAGATATATTATATGTACCGATTCCTGTTGTTCGGTGACCTATACTGAAATTTGATGGCGAATATTTTTCCCATTGAAATTCTGCCTCTAAAGTGAAGTATTGTAAGAGATTTCGGCTCTTTTTCAAAAGCTTCTAAAAAATACACTAAAGGCATGTAACTAAAATTTTAATTGTGTATATAGAAATTGTTGTTGTAATTTTTATTATAAATATTATATTTACGAATATAGTTTATTCTGAGGAAACTTGGGAAATTTTGTGCAGAATATTTCTTCCTTTGACTCCTTACCCACACGATGAAAATTGATGGCATTTTCATGCCTCATCTTGAAAAAAAAACTTGGATTAAAAATGTGAATTATTGAAATAATTAATTTTTATTGTTTCCGATATTCCCCTGTGATATATTATATATATATATATATATATATATCGATTCCTGTTGTTCGGTGACCTATACTAAAATTTGGTGGAGAATATTTTTTCCATTGAAAGACTGCCTCTAAAATCAAGTATTGTTAGAGATTTAAGGTCATTTCGAAAACCTTCCTTAATTATATCTTTAAATCATTTTTTTGTTCTTATATAGAAATTGTTTTTGTAATTTTCACAATAAATGTTATATTTACAAATTTAATTTGTTCTGAGAAAAGTTGGGAAATTTTGTGTAGAATATTTCCTCCCTTGGCATCATACTCCTACGACGGAAATTCATGGCACTTTCAGGGCACCTATGAAAACTCTCTCTCTGACTGTGATCTTTCTGCAGATGGTGTATGATGTTGTAGGTATTGGATTTCACATGAATACGAGGGAAGTTGGAAAAGTTACAGAATTTTTGACATGCACATCTATAATATATATGAATCGGATTCGATTTATGGCAATTCTTAATCGATATTTGAAAAAAACCAATATTTTATTTATTTTTTTTTTAAATATTTGTTTATTTCCCACAGAATCTTATTCCCCTTTTTTTAGCTATCTCATATCTTATAACCCTTCTGTCAGCTACGTCCCTGTTCCTTTCACATGTGTTTAATTACTTTTTTTCTTAATTACAAAAAATTTAAAAATATTTTCTAAGCATTTTTTTTTTAATTATTTTTTTGTTGACTTATTTAGTGGCACGAAAACAACCCAGCCCGTGTTAATGACAAAACATAAAATCATTACATGTTGGTAAATAATATTATATGATTATTTAAAATAACAACAACAACAACAAAATTTAATGCTTAAACAACAAAAATAAAAATAACCCCAGGCAATAAACCTTTTTTAAATTAACAATAATTCACACTTGACAAAAAAGACCTGACACTGCATTCTCGTTGCATGCGATGATTGCACACCACAAACAATGAAAACTTGGCGTAGACTTTATGACTTCGAAGTCAGCTTTGTTTATGAGATTGTATGTGTGTAGACAAATTTTCATGCCATAAAAATCCTAATTTATGAACAAACATGTTTGAAAAACAATTAAAATTAATTTAATTTTTATTTCTCTTTTTTTCATTTTATAGCCAATCGATAATGCGACAGCAGCAGCCTCTGTCGGAACATTGGAGGATAGTTGGTGCTGGGAACCGGATAATGTTAAAACAACCGATTCTGAAACCTCTTCCGGTAATGGCAATGAAATTGTCAATATTACACTGGAAGAGGTACCACTGGGCGGCTCAGCCAAGGCGGGGGCAAAGACGAAAATTCATCGCCTCGGCAGCAGTGGAGAATTGCAAAAACGCATCCAACAATTGGAGGAGGAAAATAAACAGTTGAATAATTCTCTGGAAGAATTGGACACGCAACATAATTTGGAAATGCAAAATGTTTTGGAACTCAAAACGGAGCTGCAAGAAAAACTGCATCGAGTTTCGCGGGACTATGAAAATCTCAAACAAAAACATGAAGAGAAATTCATACAAACCGAATTGGAAATGGCGAAAATGAAAAAGTTGCAGGAACAATCCGACTCCGAAAAGCTTAAATTCGCCAACGAAAATGAAAAATTAAAACAAAAGCTTGAAGAAAGCTCCAAGGAAATAAAACGGGTCTTTGAGGAAATGTCGGATTTGCAGAGTCTATTGGAAAAGAAGTCTCAGGATAATCAAGAGTTGATACAGCGCATCAAGGAAGTGTCCGAAGAGGCCCAAAAGGATAAGGAAGACTTGCAAGTGAAATTGGAACACCTCACCCAAGAAATTGAAGAGTTGAAGGTTAGCAAAACCAAAAAGACCTCAGAATCATCGAATAGCAGTTCAAATGGCAAACAAAGTGAAGATGAATTTATTGTGGTCAATGAAAAGGATGCCAACTCCTCATCGTCCGGCACCCCACCCTCCAAGGAGGAGTTAAAAGATCGTGTGGTGGCCTTGGAGAATAGGGTCTCAGAATTAACCCTGGAAAATGGTAGCCTTTCGTTGAAATTACAAGACCGTGAAATGGAAAAGGATTTGTCGCTGCAGGTCCTAAAAGATAACTTGAAGTCGATGCAACAAGAAAATGATGAGCTTAATGAAAAGTTACGCATGGCTCTCATCGACTTGGAAGATCAACAATTTAAGATTGCCGATCTCAAGGAAAAAGCTTCAGAGGCCATTATTGCCCAGGAACAGTTGAAAGCTTTGAATGAAGAGAAATTGAAATTTGCCGCGGAAATAAAGGAGATGAGGGAATATATGAACAACTCCCTGGAATTGGAGAAACGTTTGCTGCTGTCCGAACAGGAAAAGGAAGCTTTGCAATTGGAGCTACAAAGCTCCAAGGGGGCAATGGACAGAATTAATGCCCTGGAACAAAAAATACAAAAGCTCACCTATGAAAATCAACAGCTGCAATTGAATGCCGAGGCAGAAACTGAGACCTTGAATAATAGTGCGGAACTTGAGCAAAAGCTCAAGGAGCTTAATGAGGAAAATAACCAATTAAAAACGGAATTGGAACAGAGGAGCGGAAACAACAACAAAAAACAACAATGTGTTACCGATTTAGATGATGAAGAAGGTGCGGGAGATGATGGTGGTGATGATGGCGATGACGACAGCTTTTCTGTGGAGAAACTTAAAACTCTACTCAAAGCTTTCTCTTCTTCCTCGGCGGATTTAGAAAATTTAAATCTCCAGGAATATGAGCTTTTCTATAAAAATCTCAAAGAGAGGCTGAATAAAATCGACACCCTCCAACGGGATCTGAATCACATGTCCGCCGAAGTTATGGATTTGCAGGATAGCAAATTAATGTGGGATCATGAAAAGAAAACTTTGGAAGCTGATATCTCCCAGTATATTCTGCAATGCGATGAGCTAATGAAAAACAACGAAATACTCTTGAACGAATTGGAGAACTACAAACGAAATAAACTCGAAACGATCCATGAAAATAACGAAGAGAATGTTATGCAGTTGGAGACCCAATTGGATGAGTGCACGAAGCTTAATCGTACCCTGGAACAGGAATATATGGAACTGAATGAGAAAATTGAAGAGCTAGAGAAGGAAAATCAAACCCTAAATGAAAAGCTAAGGGACACCCAGCAGCAATATGAGTCCCTTACCACAAGGGAAAAAGATCTGAATCTCCAGGTGGAGACTTTGGAATTGGAGAAATGTAATTTGTTACTCAAGTTCAATGAATTTGATTCCAAGGCCCAGGACAAGGAGGAGGATAATCAGAAACTACAAGAATTCCAAGAAAAATGCCTCAGTTTGGAACAACAATTATCCAGCCTGGCCAAGGATCATGCGGATTTGGTGAATGCCATGCAAAAACAAAAGGAAAGTTTGCAGGAAAATATCCAAGCCAAGGAGGAGGCTGAGAAACAGCTGAGACTTCAGGAAATTGCCCTGGAAAAGCAAAGAGAAAAAGAAAAATCAACCCTAGAAGAATTACAACAAAAACTCTCCACCTCCCAAACGCAGGCCCAAAACTATCAACAAGAACTGATGGCCAAAAATATTGTCTGCGAAAGTCTACAACAGGAAATAAAAGTTCTACAATCGTATGTCAAAAATGCCGAATCCATTGCCAATGAAAAAGCCTTACTCGAGGAACAACTCAACGAAAAACAACAGGCCATTCAGGAGCTGCAAACCGAACTTAAATCACTACAAGAAAAACAGGATGTCTTAATAAAAGATTTGGAGGAACACGAAAAATCTAAGGCAACTGAGGACAAATCCCTTGAAAATATACAAAAAATAGCTGAGCTCGAAACCAAACTCCTGGCCACGGCGGATTTACAAAAATCCCTGGAAACCCTGCAATTTGAAAAACAGGAACTCATTAAAGCTCTACAACAAAAACATGCCGAAAATATGCAATACTACACGGAAATACAAAGGTTAACCCCTCTCGCGCAGCAGCAACAATCGGAAACTGCGGAGCCACCATCCACTGAAAGCAAAAAACCCTGTTATAAATGTCCTGAATTGGAATCAACAATAGCTGAACTGAAAAAACAACAAGAAAAATTCCAGGATCAAATCAATTTCCTTAAAGAAAAATCCGATATTTTAACTACCAACCTGTTGACGGAACAAACCAATCAAAAATTGATTCAAGAAGAAAAGGCCGATGTTTTGGAACAAAATGCCACTCTACGCAAAGATGTTGAACGTTTAAGGGCCCACTTATTGGAAATTGAGGATATGCATACCCAGGAATCCGTGGAAATGCAAAGGGAGCTGGATGAAACTAAGGCTCGCATGCAGCAGCTGGAAATTGAAGTTTCCAAATCCAGTAATGCCTATACATCGGCAAGGTGAGTTAAAGGGGAGAGAGGAATAATTATCATTATTTAATTTAGAAAAAAATCGAGTTTTTTTTAAATAGATCTTCTTCCCACCCTTGTAGGTCTTCATAGATAAATTTGTATGGATATTTTTAGGTGAACTTCTATAGACCTTCTGTTCTTCAAAGGCGGTCTTTTTAGTATAACTATAAAGATTTTCAAGATGCCTTTTCAGGCGAATTCCAAGTTTTTGTCTTCTGAGAAAATCTTCTTTTCTTCAAATTATCTGATAAGACTTTCAGAGGCCTTCATGAAAGACCTGTAGATCAGCTAAATATTTCTAGAGACTTTCTTAGTATATTTGCCTCTTTAGATGCTTCTAGAGGACTTCATAGGCGACCCTTATAATTTTTTTAATCGACTGAAAATACCTCCAAGACTGTCCCGACCCGAGTCTTACTCGGCCAATGTCTGCACCTCAGTCCATTGTGAAATAGTAAGGATTGCTACAATAACAATAACCATGAAAAAATGAAAATATAGAAGCGTTGGTATACGAACTTCAATAGCTCTTCTGGGAATACATTTTACATTTCTCCATCTAGGTGTTGCTAAAAAATGCTATAAATTCTCTGAAATATTTTCATTAGACCCCTCTACAAAATCAGAAAACACATTCCCTGTGCCATTTGGCTCTCGGTGGAAGACATTAACTTCGATGGATTTCTATTTATGGGCTTCTGAAAAAAAAGAAAAAAAGTTAATGGTATTCTATCGCGATTCGACAATATCCAGAGTTTTTTTCAGAAAATCAGGGTCCACGAAGACAGACTTTATTGTGTTTTGAAGTTCTTATCGATTACGAAGCTCTTTCATAGATATATGATAGTTCTATCGATTGGAAAATATCCTGTTTTTTAAGGCAGACTTTATTGCCTCATGAAGTTCCTATTAATTCCGAAGCTCTCTTACATACGGTAGTTCTATGGGGTTTCAAAGGTCATCTTGGAGTTCTCAAGCCTGAAAATCTCTCTTCTAGAGGGTTATTTCCAATTTAAAGTCATTCTATAGACTATATATAGATCTATCACAGGATTTCATAAAATACATATACCTCCTCGAAGTGTTTTTAGAGCTCATCTGAAAAGCCTTTCACTGCTATTTTATATATCCAATATATTCCCTACCTGTTTTTCAAGGAAGTGTGAAATCAGAGGGCTTTCTTTCTGGATAATTCCATAGATTCCAAGGATTTTATTTACGTGTTATGCTTCAGATATCTTTACAGGATAAGAAGACTTTCTAAGGGCTTATTTCAATAAAATCCCTCTAGGTTTTCAGTAGACATAAAAATTTGCTTCTATAGGTTTTCTGATAACGACTTTATTTCTTTCTTTTGGTTTTCATTAGGTAGAAAATAGTCTTTAGGGTCATTTTGGTCTACAAAATTCCGAGAGATTTTGGTCTCCATGGGGAGACAAATTCAAGCCTCTCTTTTAATACAACAAATAATATCGAAATTCAATTTTAGATGTTTTCAGGTTATATGATTCTACTGGTCTAAAAAATGCCTAAATATAGGTCACTTTTATGCGGGTGTCCATGGGGAGACAAATTCAATACCTCTTTATATAAATAATAGGCATGTGTTCTAACTGATTTACACAAGCTAAAAACCCAAATATAACAAAGATGTACTAATTCTTCTACGGAACCCAATTTCATATTCTTTCGCCATTCAAAAGCAAACCTTTTTTTTATAATTTTATTTCTATATATTTTTTTACAAACAGTATTGAAAAAATTTTCATTCTCCACTCAAAGCCAAAACTTTCCTTTCTTCATAATTTTTTTATTTCTATATTTGTTTTTGCCAAAAAAAAACTGTCATTTTTTTATCAAACATTCTGATGACGAGGTCGTTCGGTATATTTACCACCGTCCCAAAAAAAATTATCTAAAAAAAACACAGAACTCTCTTTATCAGAATATAGATAAATAGAATATCTATATAAAAAAACCTCCGAACAGAACGCAACACAATACAAAAATTGTTAATTAACCCTAACAAAGACGAGAGACTAATACCTTTTTTTCAGCATAGCATATATATTTTTTTATTTTATGGCACCACAATGCCAGAAACACGACGACAATACACCTGTGTAAAGTTTGCACAAAATATTATTATTATCATCTAATTATAACAAATAGTCAACGACACACACACGCGGACAGACGAACAAAGGCGAAAAAATATGGCTCAGAAAATTGCCTGGCTGATAGGTAAAACACAAAAAAATTATGAAGGCACAACAATTTTTTGCACAATTATATTGACGACGACAATGCCATAATGGCAGCCATTTTGTGTGTCACAATGCCGGGGAGTAAGATATTCGTGTTTTTGGGATTGGGTGTTTGAAACGTGTGCTTTCAGCAACAAAAAACCATTAACGGTTTTATGCATTAACAAAAAATTGTTTTCTTATCGTTGTTAGTCGAGCAAAATTTTGTATGCAATATTTAGTTTTTAATGACTTGACTTCTCAGTTGAAAATTTATTTTTTTAAACTAATTTTCGTTCTGCTTTTTTAGCATTCGTGCCAATCAACATGCCGAAACTTTGCAGGCCCAATATGCCCTGGTAATACAACAACGTGATGAATTACTACACAAACTATCACTGGCCGAAGATCGGGAATCGAAAAATCAAGCTGCCTTGACAAATTTACAATGTGCCCTGGAACAGTTTCAGAATGGTATACACATATTTTTATATTTTTTTATATTAAAATAATTTAATTTAATTTCCCCGTATCTCTTTAGACAAAGAAAACGACATCAAATCGGCCACCTTGCGTATACGCAAAGAGCTGCAACAGCATTTGGACAAAGAATCCCAATTACAAATGGAAATCCAACAATTGCAGCAACAATTGTCGGATGCCACTCAGGGCTTAAATGCTGCTGCCCGCTTGTCCGATCAATTGGAGTCTTGCCAACAGACCATACAGGCTCTAAGGGAAGAGGGTAAGTTTTGTAGAACATCATCAAGGGATGGTGTTTTGAATACATGAAAGGAACAGATTAAAGGAAATAAAAAAGGTTAAAGTGACTAATAAACGGATCAAAAATGTAGATAATCCCGAAAAATCAAAAATTCAAATTTAAGTGTGTGAACTAACAACAATTTTGAATGGTTACCATTTAAAACTTTCCCACAAAGTGTACTAACTGAGAGAGGATAATTTCGAATTTCTTAGATTCAAATTTATAGAAAGGCATTCAAAGGTGACCCTATAAACGGTTCTAAGGGCGTTGTCATATTCGACCATAAAATCTCTTTTGGAGACGACATTTTTATTGTCTCTTTCGATAGCCGTAAAGTGGTCTTCAAAGACGATCTTCTCTCATTTAGACATGACATTTTTATCGTCTCTTTCGATGGCGGTAAAGTGGTCTTCAAAGACGACCTTCAAGTCGTCTTAAGGTAGTCTTTAGAGACGACATTTACGTAGGTTTTAGAGACAGCATTAAAGTCGTATTTTTGACGACCTTTAATTCTCCTTTTTAGACAACCTTAAACATGACGTTAAACATGAACTTAATGACGCATTTTTAGACGATTTAGAAACGTATTCATTTACCAACTTAAAGTCTGCCTTATAGACGTCCTGTTAATAGTAATTTTCGTGATTCTAATATAGTTTTTAACGATCTTAAAGTCTTACTTTATGCGACCATAAAGTAGCCTTTATAGACAAGTTGAAAATCGTATATATAGACGACTGAAAGTCATCTTTATAGACGACTATAAATGGTCTTTATATATTAAATGGGAGTAATTTTTATATACGACTTAAAACTATTCTAAAAATCGCCTTTATAGACCACCTGAAAGTCATCTTTTTAGACGACCAGAATATCGTCTTTATAGACGAACTCCCTTCAAATGGAGGGAGTCTTTTGTTTAACCTGAAAGCCATATTTATGGCCGACCTGACAGCCTTTTCTATGAACTACCTTAAAGTCGGCTTTTTATTCCATTGATAAAGACCAATTTTAAATAATTTCAGATAAATAAATTCCAAGGTATATCAGACCAATAACCATGAATTTTTAAAGAATATTTTTTCAAGAACCAACAGATCATTTTTTTAAGACCAGCCAATTACACGGATTTTTATATCCTTCACCACACTGTGCTACAGGGTATTATGTCTTTATGCATATGTTTGTGACAAGCAAAAGGAAATAAGATAGACACATGGTTCCTTTTCAGAATATGCATAGAATCACTTTCTCAGTCGATTTATGCATGTCCGTCCGCCCGTCCGTCCATGTTAAATTGTAAACAAAGTACAGGTCGCATTTATGATCCGATTTCGATGAAATTTGACATAGGTCACTTATTTGGCCCAAGGACAAACCCTATTGAAATTGGGAAAAATCGGTTCAGCTTTAGATATAGCTCTCATATATATTTTCGTCCGATTTAAGGTAAATGGCGCACCAAAGTACCTGTATATCTTTCGATTCGATACTGAATTAAGCCTAGAAGGATGTGTGCAAAGTTTCGTGAAAATCGGCTCAGATTTAGATATAGCTCCCATATATGTTTTCGTCCGATTTAAGGTATATTGTGCACCAAAGTACCTATAAATCTTTCAATTTGAATTAAGCCTAGAATGATGTTTTAAAAATATTATTTAAAGACCATCTTCGAAAACCAAATTATCCTTTCCCTAAATGTTCAGATATTACAATTAATGAATACATATTTAAAATATTTAAAAACAAATTGTGATAAGCAAATTTAAAAATATGCACCCAATTGCACCAACCAACACCACAGCATCCTCACCAAACACCAAAGTATCCCTCCATCCCTCACAAAATAAACCACAAAAACGTTTAAAAACAACAAACAAAAAATAAAAAATGTTAAAACAAAAATCATTTTTCCACCACCACCAGAATTCTGAAAAATAAATATCAGCTGGTAATTCTGGGATTTATAATTAAAAAAATACATTGGCATTACCCGGAATTTCAGTTGGTATGGATTTTCTGGAATTCATTTCTTACACCATTTAATAAAAAAAACTAATGCAAAACAAAACAAAAATTAAAAACCTAGATTTTTAATAATAACAAAAAATGTATTGGATATTTTTTTTTCAAAAAGTTGCAAATTTAGATAATTTTTATTTTATTTATTTTTTTTTAATTTTTATAATTAATATTTGTGTGTTTATTTTTATTAAAAATATGTATATATGTAAATGTGTTTATTTTTAATTATTCTTTTTATTAATTGTGTTTTTTTTTAATATAAATTTGTGTTTATAACTTTTTTCAAAATATTTTATGTATAACTTTTTAATATTATTATTTTTTTTAAATCATATTCATTTTTGTGTACATTTTTATCATTTTTTATTAACCTCCTGCTTATTAATTATTTAATTTATTGCCTTTCATATATCCATATTTGGTTAAAAACAATAACTCCTTAACTCTTCTTCGCTTACCTAAAAAGAATTATTAAAAACAAATAATTTATATTCTAAAAAAAATAATAATGTCCGTTTTCAAGCAATCTCATTATGTAATGTGGTGATTTAGATTTGTTTCCAATCACGTTGCATGTGGAGATTACTTGGCCAGGCATTGAAGTCTTCATTTTGTTTTTTTTTATTAATTTACCAATTTCGTTTTTGTATGTTTTTATTAATTTTTATCAAATCAATTTTTAATTTTTTAAAAATCTATTGTGCCGTCCTTTTTTTACAAGCATGTTTAATTTTTTTTAATATTTTCTTATTTAAAATAATAAATGCAACTTTTTTTAAATTATTGTAAGGTTAGGGAAAAGTGCGTGTAATCCCGTAATTAAAATATCATTCGTGTCGTATGCAATCCTGAAACCCCACCGTGATTTTTAAATGAAAATAAATATACTTTTGTCTGTCAGAGTATTACATTAGGTACTGGTGTTGATTTATCTTCAAAATATATTTGTTGTTGTTTGTTTTATTTTTTTCTACAACAATAACAATAATTTTAAACTGACCAGTACTTATGTCATACTTACATACAGATGAAATGTAAATATCAACAAATATGTACTCAACACATCGATCGCATGGAATGTGAATGAATGTTTTGCCAAGTGTTTTCAAACAAATAAATGCCTGACTCCTAGAAATATGCACCAAAAAATAAAAGCATGATAATAAACCTATAATAATAATAAATAATAAAAGTGAAGTGTTTAAAAAATATGAAAAAATAAAAAATATCAAGAAAACAAGTTATTTTTTATATAATTTATTGTGAATGGATGGAATGGGAACTTGGAGAACAATACTCTTTCTTTTTATAAAAATCTGTAGACCAAAAAAATATTTTAAAATAAATCTCCATTTAGCGTTGATTTTTTTAAATACTTTAGAATAATCGACACAACAGTAAACGTGTTATTTTTTTAAAAATACAGTTTAGAAAAATGATAAATTTAACTTTTAATTAAAAAAATTCAAATCTAGAAGCAAGGATTTTTTAGATATTTTTTTGGGTTAATTTTTAAATTAAATAAAATTAAGGATCGAGGATTTTTAAAATATATTGTGGAAAAAAATCTGCAGACGTAGATAATTTTTTTTTTTGAAAACAAAATTAAAAATCTGCAGGCTTTCAAGGTACATGTCTATAATTGTGATTTTTTTAAATATACCTGATAAACATCCTTGAAGATTTTGTGAATCAGTTTTTTATAGCCTTCACCACACTGAGGTACAGGGTATTATGTCTTTGTGCATATGTCTGTAACAGGCAAAAGGAAAAGAGATAGACACATGGTTCTTTTTGAGAATATGCATAGAGAATATGAGAATATGCATATGTCGATTTATGCATGTCCGTCCGTCTGTCTGTCCATGTTAAATTGTAAATATGCATAGAGAATATGAGAATATGCATAAGTCGATTTATGCATGTCCGTCCGTCTGTCTGTCCATGTTAAATTGTAAACAAAGTACAGGTCGCATTTGTTATTCGAATTGGAAGAAATTTGGCACAGTTCATTCATTTGGCCCAAGGACGAACCATATTGAAATTGGGAAAAATCGGTTCAGATTTAGATATAGCTCCCATATATATTTTCGTCCGAATTATGTCTAGAACGATGTGTGTTAAATTTCGTAAAAATCGGTTCATATATATTTCCGTCCGATTAAATGTAAATGGTGCACCAGAGTCCCTATATATATTTCGATTTGCACGAAATTTGGCACAGTGTAATGAATTAGGTCTAGAATGATGTGTGTAAAGTTTCGTGAAAATCGGTTCAGATTTGGATATAGCTCCCATATATATTTTCCTCCGATTTACGGTAAATGGTGTACCAATGTCCCTATATATCTTTCGATTATTACGAAATTTGGCACAGCGTACCGAATTAAGCCTAGAATGATGTGTGTTAAATTTCGTAAAAATCGGTTCAGATTTAAATATAGCTCGCCTATATATTTTCGTCCGATTTTAGGTAAATGGTGCACCAAAGACCCTATATATCCCTCGATTTGCACGAAATTTGGCATAGCGTACTGAATTATGTCTAGAAAGATGTGTATTAAATTTCGTAAAAATCGGTTCAGATTTCGATATATCTCCCATATATATTTTCGTCCGATTTTATGTAAATGGTGGAACAAAGTCCCTATATAACTTTCGATTTGCGCGAAATATGGCATAGCGTACTGAATTAAGTCTAGAAAGATGTGTGTTAAATTTGCTTCAAATTTATATACAAAATGTTGTCCCATTGTAAGAAGCAACTCTATATCTGACCAACATTTAGTATATGTTGCAGAATGACATGTTTAATTTCATGTTAATGGTCCTTCATAAATGTGACGTCTGTTAGGTTTCCATCTGTTGAATATTCCCAAAGTGATGAAGGGTATCATATAGTCGGCCCCGTCATTTTGAAGGCATCTCCCATTATGTTTTAAAAGTAGGCACTGAGTTCCCTTTTCCATCCTACTATCGGTTTTATACCCAATGATATAAATATTTAATTTTTTTATAAAAAGTGATTTAAATTTTTAAAAATATAATTTACAAACCCCATATTTTTATTTTTTTAATTATCATTTTTATTTATTTAATTGTTTCTAATTATGCCCCTTTTTTCCTATTTACAGTCGATTCCCTGAAACAACAAAATACCGGATTGGAAAAGAAACTATCTACGGCCGAAGCTAGTCAATCGGATAAAATTGAAAAGACGCTAATCAAGAGTCTGTTAATTGGCTATGTGGTCAGTACAAATCCAAATGATAAACAGCAAATATTGCGTATGATATCCTCGGTATTGGATTTCAATCAGAGTGAAACCGATAAGGTGGGACTTAATAAGCAACATGGTGGCTGGTTGGGTTCGTTGCTTGGAGGAGGCGGTAGCGGTGGTAGTGCGGCAGGTAAGATAAATGATGAATTTAATAATTAAGTTTTAATATTAATAATCTGTTTTTTCTATTCAAGGTTCCCATTCCAAAGAAAATCTGGTACAGGCCTTTGTACAATTCCTTGAACAGGAATCTCAGCCACAATCACAGCGCCAGCAAATGCCCAATTTGTTAAATATACAACATTCCACAGCGCCCGGCGCCACAGCGTCGACATCAAGACGTTCATCACAAATAACAAATCCAATTGCACCACAACAACCGCAGCAGCAAGTGGCAACAACGGCATCTGCATCACCCAGTTCTAGCACTACAGCAGCAGCACCTCACACCCCCGTGCCCATACAACCTCTATTACTTTCTTCAACGGTTTTAGATGAATTCTCTCCCTCGCGTAATTCAAGTTCCATACTAAAGGATATCTTAAGCGATTCTTGATTATTGTAATAAGAGTTTTATAATTATTTTGTACGTTTTACGTTTTTTCATCATTACTTTTTGTTTCTCTTTGATTTATAATAATGTTTTTGTTTATTATGATTATTATATATTTATAAAAAAATGAAAGGACCTTTTAAATTTTTGCCTATGTGTCTTTGTAACAGAACTTTTTGTTTGAGTAGTGCAATTATGTCCTTTGTCCTTTTTCGAGATTTAATGTAATGGAACCATGTTGTTTTTCTTTTTATAAATTCTTCTAAGGAAATATATTTTTTTTAATTTCATATCCTAATTTCCAAATCTGTTTATATATGCCATTTAAAGGTCCAGGTCCACTTGTATATAATGTTGTCTCAGTGTGATTATGTTTGAAAGACAATTTTTATTTCATTATTTTTTTCTAAATAAAATAAAAAAATAAAACAATAGCTATATAAATATTGTATACAAACAACAACAAGAAATATAAAACTAATTGTAAAACTTCTTTATCTTATGTCTGATATAATCCACAAAACAAAACACTCTTCATAAATAAAAATAAAGCAAAAAAAAAAAAAAAAAACACACAATTAAAGAAAAAAAATCTTTTAATTTTATTTAAATAAAGACACGCAGATAGACGGATGGGTATTTGTAAATTGATTCAAATTGTCTGTGACGGATTTGGTCCAAAGAAACCTAGGGTCTAAAATCAATATTTCAATGACGCACATTTTTCGCCGTAGCAAAGCCATAAGGCTGATGATAGAAAAACTCGACCGATCAAGGAACAAAATACGTCATTCTTGTAAACCGAACAAACACAGTGTCAACTTTGTTAACATTTAAGAAAAAATAATAGATATTTTAATTTTATTAAAATACAGTGACACAGATAGACGGAATACATTTGTAAATCGATTCCAAATTGTCTGAAACGGATATGGTCCCAAGAAACCTAGGTTCTAAAAACAATATTTCAATAAGGCACATTTTCGCCGTGGAAAAACCACAAGGCTCATAGTAGAAAAACTCGACCGATCTCAGGAACAAAATACCTCATTCTAGGCTCAATCCAATACGCTAGGCAAAATTTTTTGTAAGCCGAACAAAGATAGTGTCAACTTTGTTAACATTTCAGAAAAAATAATCAAAACTTTAATTTTATTTAAATACAGAGACACAGATAGACGGAATACATTTGTAAATCGAAATTGTCTGACGCGAATATGGTCCAAAGAAACCTAGGGTCTAAAAACAATATTTCAAAAATGCACATTTTTCGCCGTAGCAAAGCCATAAGGCTGATGGTAGAAAAACTCGACCGATCAGGAACAAAATATCTCATTCTAGGCTCAATCCAATGGGCTAGGCAAAATTTCTTGTAAGCCAAACACAGTGTCAACTTTGGTAATATTTAAGAAAAAATAATCGATATTTTAATTTTATTTAAATACAAACACATAAAATAGATGTAAATTTGTAAATTTACCTAAAATTGCATAAAGTGAATAGGGTCCAAAGAAACCTAGGGTGTAAAAACAATATTTCAATAAGGCACATTTTTCGCCGTAGCAAAGCCATAAGACCGATATCAGGAACAAAATACCTCATTCTAGGCTCAATCCAATACGCTAGGCAAAATTTCTTGTAAGCCGAACAAACACAGTGTCTACTTTGTTAATATTTAAGAAAAAAATAATCGATATTTTAAATATCTTCGAACTTTCACAAAATGCTAATTTGCTCTTATATAACATAAGCGTATATATGTATTGCCAATATGGAATAAAACTTAACATTTCCCTCTAACGATTTGTGTAAAAATTTTGAAAATCGGTTAAGTAGTCGCTGAGTTATTTGCATTTGAAGTCAATCATCTTCCGAAATATACCAACTGTTCGGTGTTGGGCGCCTATTACCTCAAAATGAAAAACAACACACAAAAATCGTACTTCATGCGGGTGATTTTGTCAGTGTTGCCAATCATTGCTCGAAATCTTATGCACATCTAAAGCATATTTTTAGGCGCAACAAAACGCTCAATTATTTGGGAATATGCGGTTGAATTTGTCAGTGTTGCCAATCATTTGGGAAATCTCATGCATATCTAAAGCATATTTTCAGGCGCAACGAAATGCTCAATGCAAACTGGGAACAAAGAAAAATATTTTAAATATGATAAAACGTGAATTCGAAAAAAAATAAATTGTTAACAAATACTATATGAATGGTTTAAAATATTGTGTTTGGAATAAACAAAATAAGCCATATTGCTTTAATAAGCGATATGACGTAGCCGCGCCATAGGGATAAGTTTCTCTTGCAGATATTTTTTTTTGTGATATTGCTAAATTACTTTTTTTAATTTTTACTTACCTTTTAATTCAAATCCACTCAATTAAAAAGTCAAACACATTTTGTTTTTTTGTAATGACATTCAAAATATATTTGATGGATGTTTTCAAATGTTTATATTTTTTCATTTCGTGTCTCTAATATTTTATTTTATTTTTTTATTGTATAATTTTTTTTCGTGTTATTTCCTGTTCTTTTGAAAATGATTTGTTTTCATTTTCTTGATGATTAACAATGTTTGTTTTTTATTTATAAATAAATTTTGTATATATTTTGAAACAGTATTTTTTTGTTCATATATCAATTTTCTGGGTTGTGATTTTTACTATATGTAACATTTTAATGGATCAAATAATAGTTATTTGGGTGTGTGTGTTTTGTTATATTTGGCTAATTACTAACATTTATAGAAATCTGTATATAATATATAGAAATTTATATATATAAATATAAAAATGTAATTTATTAACAATTTGTTTTATTTATTTTTATTAAAACTTAACAAAGTTTTTTAAATTACAAATAAAAATTAGAAGGGAAGTTTTTTTTTTTTTCTATTAAAAAATTGGTAAGAAACTAGCATGGGTTTTTTTGGAAAGGAAAATTTTAATATTTTTTACAATAATTATTATTTTTTCATATTTATATTTATTTACATAAATGACAAGAAATTGCATAGTTATAAAAATTATTCAAATAATTGATTATAATAATAAAAATCATAAAAATTAAAAAAAAAATAGAAAATTAAATAAAATATTTACAAGTATTTTTTTAACATAATTAAATATATACAAAATTGGATTTAACATTTTTTTCAAATTTAAAAAAAATATATAAAAAATAATTTTTAAAATAAAAAAAATTATATATAAAAATATATTTTGTGTATATATATTTTCTGAATTAAAATATAAAAAGTATATTTTTGTACATATTTCTTATAAAAAAATGTCTAATTTATATAACTTGTTTTTTTTTTTTTAATTGAAAAAATATTTTGTATGATTTTAATTAAAAAAAATATTTATTTTTCTGCAAACATTTTTTAAATTTAAAAAAAATATATGTTTTGTCCATATTTTTTTTAATATATGCAAAATCGTATCCCCCTATTCCGTATGTCGTCGTCGTTTCTTTGTCCACATCACTTCGAAATTGATTTGGAATTCCCATGGTCTATAAATAAAGTCTCCCTGGGTGACCAGCTGGTCTTCCTGACATTTGAATTGAGAAAAAACACCTGTTTTCCGATTAAGATTGCTACCTTGGTGACGTTATTAATAGATCTTGGGTATTCCCATGGCCTCTAAATAAGGTCACCCAGGGAGACAAGCTGGAAATCGATACCTCTCAAGTATGCTGTCAAAAATCATTATTGTGAATTCCATTATGAAAACGTAAACAAAGTCGAATTTTTTTGACATTAGACTTGAGAAAAAACGGCTGTTTTCCGATTATGATTGTTACTTGGTGACCTTATTCATAGATCTTGGGTATTCCCATGGCCTATAAATAGGTCACCCAGGGAGACCAGCTGAAAATCGAAACCTCTCAAGTTTGCTGTCAAAAAGCATTATTGTGAATTGACTTCCATTATGAAAACGTAAAGAAAGTCGATTTTTTGTGACATTAGACTTGAGAAAAAACAGCTGTTACGATTGCTACTTTGGTGACCTTATTCATAGATCTTGGGTATTCCGTAACACTCATGCGACGATGTCGACTATTTATCGATAATATCAACAAAACAAAAACCACATCTCTAAAAATTATATTCAGCTGTTTATTTTGTTTGATATTTTGGCTTAAGTTGGTTTTAGGGGTATACCTCAAATTTTTCTGAAATTTTACCACAGGTAGATCTCGTCACCCTGATGACGAAAATATACGACATTCATGGGAGAAGTTCGTACTTCTCGAGATATGGGCCTCTGACGTTGCGGAATTCATATGCTCGCTCATAACAGCGTCATTTATGGACCGATGATGTTAATATTGACGGTTATTAAGAATAGCATGTTTAAAATGTTCAATCGTGTAGCCGAATTTTCCATTTGTCATAGACAGTCGTCCAAGAATGGTTATTGAAAAAAAGAAATAGTTGAAAATAATTGATTTCCGCCTGTCCATAGGAGAATGTCCTAAATCACTGGCCGAAGGCCTGCTATTTTGAATAATTTATAATTAAAACGAATTTATGTATGCGAAAATATAATGTGTACGCTTTGCAACCATACCAATATTACCTTCATAGGTCTATAAATGACGAAATTATGAACGAAGGAATTTCGGAACTTCAAGTGCCTTTATTTCGGGATGTTTGGCTTCTCCCATGAAAATCATAACTTTTCGTTATCAGGGAGACGAGACCTACGTGTGGTAAAAATGTCATCCGAGTTGAGCTTCTAAACTCATATTGTTCCCTTTTTAGTATATATGTTCATAGAATTGCTTTTTGAGTCGATTTATGCACCTTGCTCCGTTCAGCAAGTTACAGGTCACCTTTATGATCCGAATGGAATAAAATTTGGTATACTCCATCCGAAAGAGACGAAACTTTATTTGGCACAAAGACGAGCCCAATTGATATTGGTCAAAATAGGTTCAGATTTATATATAGATCCCATATATTTTTCTTTGTTTATTTACACCTAATTTTGCAAT